ATTTCATCCTTGCCTCTGCTGCATGTGCTGTAAAGCATTACAGCAGCATTGCTCCATAAACCAATGTGTAGGGCACGCTGGTTTCCCACTAGTCTGACTGGCTGGGGAGTATGCCCAAAGTGCATCAGGTGGCACATGACTAGATGGTGGAACAGAGTGAACATTGGTCAGTGCACAAGCTAAGCTGGAATGATGCCAACCCCCTTGACTTGTGAGGGGATTCTGCCATGCCGCAAATAGTGTGAACCAACCCCATTAGACTACAGAAACTCTAGGCAGCTTTCAAGGATAAAACATTATTAGCTAACACCAATACTAAGCAAGCATTATCATCAACAGGTGCCATGCAAACCATAGCAAGCACATACTCTCTAAAATTGGCTACAAGCTACTGGGATGGGTGGGACTCATTCCCCTTCCCCCCAAACCCACCCTACCTCCCTTATCCTCTGTTTTCGCTCCTAGTGTTGAGGCAGACGACACAAGCCCACCACCCTGAGGTCTCATGGTAGATGCCCTCTCGCCTAGGACTGTCCTGCCCCAAACGTTTCAGGTATAGGCCTTCCAAAAATGGAATCCCCGTCCCAGGGGTCACAAGCCTGAAACAGAATTCCAGCCAAACCTCCATCCAGCATAGCCTGTTGGTGCAAACATTTGTCTGAAGGCACCAGTGTTTGTGACATTTCTTGATAATGAGCATTTCCAATGTAATTATACTGAATGATCCACAACATTATTTACCACATTTGGCTCATTTCCTGGGACTATGTCCAGAGTGCACGCTAAATATGTCAGCTATTTGCTAAGCAGTGTAAATCAGCCAGCACTGACTGTTTGTTAGGGAAGATAGTAATAGAAATGTAGCCATGTTAGTCTGGTGTAGCTGAAGCAAAATAGTCCTGCATTTTGCTTTAGGGAAGATGGTATTCTAGCGGTGAAGCCATGAATTATCCAGGGTCATGTTCATAATGCACTACTCTGATTAAACAGCTGAGATTGCAATACGCCTGATTCCCCCATGTGTAGCTGAGCACTCACCAACAACTACACCACTTGAAGTGCAGCGGCTTAATGTTTTTCATGCTGCTTATACAGATACTTGGGCTATGGTTACACTGCAGGTTTCTTGCACACAAACTGTTTTGTGCAAGAATTCTTGCGCAAAAGCGCATCCACACTACCATGTGCTTTTGCGCGCACACGTCCATGGCAGCGTGGGCGCTCTCGTGTGCAAGACCGCTCTGATGGCCATTTTAGCCATAGGGGCTTCTTGTGCAGGACCCCCCCCCCTTGACTGTCTACATTGCCATCTTATACAAGACCGCTTGTTCTGATGCTTTATTGTAAATTTACTTGCACAAGAACATGCATGCAATGTAGATGCTCTGCAAGTTTTTGCACAAGAATGGCTGTTCTTGCACAAAAAGCCTGCAGTGTAGACATAGCCTCTGTTAGTTTGGGGGGGCAAATCACTTAATATGTATCATACGCTACAATTACAAGGCAAGTTCCATTGCTGAATGATGTACAAGTAGCCAACTATTAATTATCATCATCACTGCTTGTATATGGACATATGATGCTGGGCTATAAATATTCACTTTAATGAATAATATGGAACAATTCTTTTCACTATAATGGAGTTTTACTGTATCTTAAAGAAAGTTTAATAAATTATACAGAGATGTAATTATCTATTGTCAACTGAGGTACTAAATAGAAACTAGTCATTTATCTCCACCTCTGATGCTTTTGAAATTCTCTCTCTGGCCTGATCAGCTTCGTGCTTTATAATCCAAATGAGTTGTGTACATTGTGACCTAGTTCCCATGTTACAAATGCAGTTGTGATCAACTGCAGGAACTACACTTCTTGGAATGTAAACAGCAGGGGCATGCGAAAGAAATTAATGTTATGCCTAATTTGAAATGAATTTGCAGGCACCTGAAAAAAGTATTATTCTCTCATATGAAAGCAGTGCATAATGCTGAAACAGTAAATAAAGGCCAAATTATCCCTCCCATTAGCACTGCTGCACATAAGTTCTATGTAATCAGGACTAAGTAAGTGAAACATTGTGGACATCATAAGCACCAAAGTTTAAATTGTACTGTAGAGATGATTGCTACTCATTAATGAAGGGCTATGAACAATTCTGAACAAAAAAAAAATTAACTTTATGTCAACAAGAAATAATGCCATGCTCAGAGATACATGGACCTACTAAAAAACCGACTGGATCCTAGGGTTGCACTATGCAATGGTCACCACTATTTGATTCTAGAGATGTATCGCCTTTTGATAGACCTGATTAATTAGTTAACATAGGACTTAAGCCAGAGCTTTAGTTGCAGGTTCATTATAACTCATCCAGTAAAAAGTGTGGTTTAGGAAACAAAGGCATTCAGAAAATTCATTAACCTCCCTGCACTTCATGAGCAGAGACAGGGCCTGTTTATCAGGCAGGACAAATCACCAGTAAGACCAATATTGTGCTCAAGATAATTTATATGAATCCCTGCAACTGTCAGTTATGGGAACTCTTCAGTGCAATGCAGGTATTACACTTTGATTGAAAACCAAACTGCTTCTGGTGAGAAAAGTAACATCCCTAATGTATTGTTGCTAATCTGTTAGCCTTAGGCTAAGTCTAGACTGGCATGATTTTCCGCAAATGCTTTTAATGGAAAAGCTTTCGCGGAAAAGAGCGTCTAGATTGGCACGGATGCTTTTCCGCAAAAGCACTTTTTGCGGAAAAGCGTCAATGCCAATCAAGACGAAGTTTTGCGCAAGAAAGCCCCGATCACCTTTTTCGCGATCGGGGCTTTTTTGCGCAAAACAAATCTGAGCTGTCTACACTGGCCCTTTTGCGCAAAAGCTTCTGCCCAAACGGGAGCACCATAGTATTTCTGCAAGAAGCACTGATTTCTTACATGAGATCGTCAGTGTTCTTGCGGAAATTCAAGCGGCCAGTGTAGACAGCTGGCAAGTTTTTCCGCAAAAGCAGCTGATTTTGCGGAAAAACTTGCCAGTCTAGACACAGCCTTACTGTTTAAACTCTTGGCCACTGCTGGACCAGCAGCCCACAGGGCGTTTAACCAATTGAATTTGAATTGGTTACATGGTTAGGAGGCGTTTTTAAAATTTGTACATGCCTACACTACATACATATGATGAAATCTACTAGCTAAAGTGATAGGGTGGCTTCAAAATGGGCACAGCTCCCTCTGGTGGAAGAAGGGAATAGTTTCCAGGAGAGAAAGGAAAGCATAAGGGTATGTCCACACTACAGGACAAAATCAAATTAAGCTAGGCAACTTCAGCTATGTTAACTACGTAGCTGAAGTCAAAGTATCTTAACTTGGCTTTTGGTGCTGTCTATACTGCCAGAAGTCAAAAGAACAACACTTTTCCTTCAACTTCCCTTACTCCTTACGAAATGAGGGTTACAAGTCAGAGTAAGAAGCCCATTATTTTGAAATGATGGGCTTGCTGTGAGATACGCACTCTGTTATTTCAAAATAACACACTGTGTAGACATGCCTTAAGAGACCATGCATCAGACAAGTTTCTTTATACTTAGCTACCACTTACAACAGGATAGGCAGCAGAAATCTAGTGCCTTGTGATTTATTTAAAAACATAATAGTAAGGTTTTATTTAACCTCTTTAGTGATACATTGCAGATTAAGAACCCATGGTGAAATGCTGGGGTCTTGCAACAGCTATTAATTGCTGTGCAGCTAAGCTCTAATATCTAACTTCACACACACAAGCAATGAAAAATTGATCAAGTCTGGCTGGTGAGAGGCCATAGAAGTTCTTTAGCTACAGTAGGAAAAGTCCTGCTCAATGACCAAGTAGAGAATTAACAAATTTCCTATTAGTGAACCTCAGATGAAGATAATTTATGGGAAGTGACCAAGTGATGCTCTGCTTAAAATAATGTAACATCAGTAGGTTCAGAACACCATTTCCCATATTCTCATTCGTACCAGTCATGAACTCCTCAGCCCCATGAAATACCTTCATCAGAGTAGGCAAAGTAATTTTGCATCATTCTACTAAATAGAGAGCAAAATTTACTTTAAGTCTGAAGAACACACTGGAGGCTCTCTAATCTTCCTTGTTCTAATCTAAATACCATAATCCCATTTAAACCTGCTTTTCTTGTTCATAAAAATTCTACTTAGATTCCTTTAAATTTACTACTAGCAAAGGCTCCACTTCAAAGGCCAATCACAAGTAGAAATTTTGGTATAAACAGGAGAATGATGCTTCTTAATGCCATTTTGAAATTATTCTTCCATATTAAGACAGAACTGTATTTAAAAGGGATTCTCAGCTTAAGGCTGCATTTCTCAAACTGTGGGTCCCGAACCTCTGGAGGATCGCGGTATCACAGTTTGAGAACTCCTGGCTTAAGGCATTTATGTTATATACATGCTTAAATTCTTATACTGCTTTTAATAAGCTAAAGTAACTTAGAATTCCACATTTATTTGTGCTCTTCCTTTTCATGATCTGAACAATGAAAACCCATTGTCACTTTGAAGTGCATTTAGGGGCAAATTTAAGGTGACAATTTCTTCAACCAATACCCATGAGATGTTTTTTACATCCTTTCTTTCATTACAAATCTCAGTGGTGAAAAAATATCATGGACAAGTACTAAAGATTTTTCATAGAGCAGTCAGCTCACTAGAAATTCAACAGTGGCATAATGTTGGGAACTTTGTATTTTTGCCACTCATTAATAGATCCACCAAACCCCATTCCAAATCAGTTCCACACTGGGTTAACTAATTGCTACAGCTGTAATTGTCATAGCTAATTTGGAGAAGAACCATGGGATCAATAATTCATACCAATCACAGCAGCAGCAGCAAGCATATCAGGAAGAGGCAGTAATTAAAAGTGAGGCCTAGGTTTATCATTCCCTCAGTTTTTAGTCCAAGACATTTACAAGATTAAGGAAAAAGTACTACTAATATACAAACTCATTGCTGAAAAAGAGTCAATTACAATGTTTATTAAGTAGCAGATTACTACATTACAGTGGGATTCAGACATGCTTATGCTCCCTAAAAACGGAAACAATTTGTGCTGTGCATCTATGCCGCTTTGTTGTACAATATTGAAAAAAGACTCCATTTTCTCTGTTTCCATAAGTAAATGAAATACCAAGTTGCTCTAATAACCCAGCAAGAACCTCTTGGAGGGCTTTCATTTCTTATTTTCTGAAGAAAGGATGAGTTAGAAGAGTTAAGATGGGTGGTGATTTTTGGTTTCACAGTCCCAAATGCAAAGTAACAATGGTCACAATGAATGTGATTATGCTTATACATTTAGTCATCAGCAGATTGTATCTTAAGCAAAATATTAAGTTGAGTTCAGAGTAGATGTCAACTTTATGTCTTCTAGAATGCACAGGGGGTTAGTCTGTTCACCAGAATGTTTGGTTGGAATTAGTCTTGTGTACAAACACCAAGTCTGCTTAAATAGCTCTCCCATGCTGCCTTCCTGTACATCTCTGCTTCCTCTAGACGATTTGATGCAGACAAGATACCACGTCCCACAATAATGATATCTGAACCTCTTTTGTTAATAACTTCCTGTGGGCTTAAGTATTTCTGTCCAAGGTTATCACCTGAAACGTAACAAATAATACATCACTTTTTTATTTGGAGTAAATAATACCGTCTCCTAGAAGTTCTGAAATAGGACTTAAGCAGAGATAACAAATAATATATCACTTTTTTATTTGGAGTAAATAATGCCATCTCCTAGAAGTTCTGAAATAGGACTTAAGCAGAGGCGCAAGTTTAATATCTGAATTCTCAGCACTGTAAACTTGACACATGAGAAATTTCATTGCACATTCTACCTCCTCAGGAATGTTTACCTCCAGCTTGCATCTGGACCCCTGGAGTCAAGTGAAGAAACTCTGGTTTGTTACTAACTCTGCAGCCAGAAATGAATCCAAAAACAAAATCTGAGTTTTCTTCAGCCATTTCTACCTAAATATAACAAAAACAATCAAAGAGCTAAGTTAGAATTTCCAGGCTTAAAACTAAACCTGACCAATGAGCTGTCTCAAGCCCTGCCAGTCTGTCTGTTAGCGTAAGGCCCCAGAGAGAAATCAGTTTAAGCTATATCCTAGTTTCACTAAAGAAATAATCACAAAGCACACAGAACTGACAGCTCCTTATTAGAACCAAAAGGTAACTGGAAGGCTGGACATTGGACTGGGAATGTAGAACAAAAGTTAACTGGATGTGATGGCTAAGAAAAGTAGTAAAGAGCACACACACTTTTGCAGTGGTCACCATGATAATGCAAAACAAATCAGCAATAGACTAGTGACAATGTTGAAGCTGTGGGCAACCTCTTAATATCTGAAAGTCTAACATTTATTATCTTTAAAGCACTGAGAGAAATTTGGTAAGTAGCAGTTTGTGTGAAAAGCTATTTATATACGCAGGCTATGAAATTATGTAGTGCATGCAACCACTCTCCTTTGCCAGAGCAGTTTAAGTTTTCCCAAGCAAAACAGAAGCTCTTACTGCAGATTTTGTGTAATCACCAGTGGCAAGTGACCCGTGGGAACTCATCTCAGCAATCAATAGACAGCCTCGCTGTGAAGGAAGCCCTACTTCTTTCAGTCCTTTCACGACTCCAGAGCCTGGAACCACATGGGCATTAACTATATCTGACCAGGAAGCTATTTTGAATATACCCCCTGAAAAGAAATAAACAGAGAGGGATATATTTTCAGCTAAGCACTGCTATGAATTTATCCTCAAGCAGGAGTTAAAACAAAGACAGAGCATACTAAGTTGTGCACATTTTTAAGACATTCTACCTATTCAACCAGTTAGCTGTCTAAACACAACAGGAAACTGTCTCTAAATTATACTTTTCACGAACAGCTGCACACTTTTGTCTTCATTGTCTGGAGAGGTTTTGATCGGGATATAGAGCCTACTAAGTGACGAGAAAGGGGAAAAAAGCAAATTCAGCACCTGTCACAACTTAAGTGAAGAGGTTCAGTAAGCAAAATGAAGCATGCACAAGTAAAATCTGTTTTACAAATATAGCGGTCATCACCTTAGTTGCACTAAAGGTAATCACATTTTATTCAACAGGCAAAAGCATTGGCAAAAAACTCACAAGAAACTAAGGTTGCAATAATCACCTTCATATTGATGTTTCACAGTGTTCCCTATGTCTGCAAACTTGCGGTCTTCAAATATCAGATACTCATGCTGGTCTGCAAGTGCTCTCAACTCCTTTATTACCTCTTGGGTGAAATCATTAAGGATATCTATGTGAGTTTTTAAGATACAAATGCTGGGGCCCAGAGTGTCAGCCAGCTGTAAAAGTTCTTTGGAGTCTGTGACATCAGCAGAAAGGCATAAGTTTGTTTGTTTCTTTTCCATGAGCTTGAGAAGTTGTGCTGCAATGGGATGGATTCCAGGTAGCCGAGCACGAGCACTAAAGCTCATCTCTTTGCATATTTGTTTGATGGGAATAGCAGCACCATTTTGATCTGCTGGTTTGAAGTCATTTTGCAGAATGAATTTTTTTACCTTTTCAACTATCTTGGAGTCAACTTTTTGCTGCTGCTGCAGAATCTCTAGCATCATGGACAGGGTGCACACAGAGTGTAGGCGAATCCCTCGTTCTTCTAACTTGCACTTTCCTCCCTGCTCTCTATCCAGCAGCACTATGGCATCAGTGATTTTTAATCCTTCTTTCTGAAGTACCTCTACTGTTTCCAAGATACTAGATCCACTCGTTACCACGTCCTCAATGATCAAACAAGTTTCTCCTGGATTAATGGTGCCTTCCACCAAGCGCTTGGTACCTTTAAATCAATAAAGACACAATCCATTGAATCACTAGTTAAAAAAAACTAACCTGAAATTGCTACCTTAAGACTTACTGTTGTTAAAACTAAATGTACTATGTGCATCATAGGAGGCCATTGCTATTAAGTGACTACATTAGTCCTGAAAATAGTAAGGAACTTTTTTTTTTCCCATTGGCATTATAGGGAAGTAAGGCACACAGTGATTACCACTATGTTGAGGCATCAAAGTTCTGTTTTCAGGTCTGTTACTGACTTGTTTTGTAACTTCATGCAAGTCACTTGACCTTCATGAGCAGATAAAATGTGCTCCTCTAGATCCCACGAAGTTGTGATTTATAAGTATTTGCAAAACAGCTTGAGATATTTATCATTTATTTGCTCTTACAGGCACCAACACACACACTCTAGTAATCCTTGAGACACACAATATAGAAGACCACTTTTTTTGGTTAATGAAACCATTGCTAGAAGCATAACATTACTCTCCTGTAGAAATTTGCCACAGCATGAAAGTTAAGAAAAATTATTTGCACCATTGAGACATTCAGTTTAATATACTAAAAAATCCTAGCTTTACAGTAGGAATGTTACAGTGTAGCTGAATAACTGATAAACTGATGCTTATTGGTTACACTCAGCAGGGAATGGCAGGAAACGGCTTCCCTGGGAGCCAGGCTGGCAGGGGCTCCTGGGAAGGCTTCACTGCAGGCTCTGCAATATAAAACATATTTAAACTTCATACTACAGAGCCTGTAGTGTGTAACCCCTTGAGATTTTCAGCAGTTACACAGTTACTTATTTAACCAAATTTTAACATTCCTACTTTGTACCTAACAAGCAGCAGCTTAACACCTCCACTACAGAGATTATCTAGGTTACTGAGTCCCTAGAACTTTTCCTCAAACACTAAATGAGCTGGAGGTCAAACTATTTAAAGCACTTCCACAGCAAATCTTTCAAACAGAAAAAGACAATTTAACCTTAATAATAACTTGAATAATTTTACCATAGTCTTTTGCTTCCTTCCTCCGTATAAGCATTGGGATCTGATTGGTTGAGCAGATAATTGTAGCCAAAGGCAATGCTGTGTATGGCACACCACAAACTGAGTCATACTTGATCCCTGCGTTTTTTGCCGTTTGAAACAGGAGATCTGCAATCTAAAGGTACATCATATTTTTAAGCAGTGGTAAATATAACTATAAGCCTATATTACCCATGTAAGACATTTCAGATATTGTTGATTGATTGATGTATGGTCAGAGAAGCTACTTTCTCAGATATCTGTAAGCAGTATTCTGTCAGTATTATTTGTACCCAGATAGCATCCAAAATATGTCAGTTGCTATTACAATAAATTAAAACTAAACTTTTTGGGGCAAGGATTATTTAAGTAACTTCTATTATTCTAGTAACTTCATTCATGGAATTAGTGGGCAGTGACATTTAAGACGACATACAAAATAAGTTCTCCACTGTTTTTTTGCACTGTTACCCATTCCTTTAGCCAGCAAGTCATTTCTTCTTTTAAATTTACTCTTATCCTTTCTTACTGTAAAGTATGTCAATCACCATTAAAGGCACTCCCTAAAAATAAAAAGTGGACTATGGGTTCTATGTAATAGAACTTTTCAATATATTACAATAGTTCCAAAACGGTAGCGTTAAAAAGGCTAGCAAAGTGGCCAAAGAGAAAAGAAAAAAAAAGAAAAAAGTGAAAGATATTGTTTAGCCTATATTACAGATCTATGCTCGTAGTCCTATTTTAGTATATACAAGCAGTCCCCGGGTTACATGGATCCGACTTACATCGGATCCCTATTTACAAACGGGGTGAGGCAACCCCGCACTAGCTGCTTCCCCCCAGCAGACCAGGGAGACGCGAAGCTAGCGCCCCCCCCAGCAGACCAGGGAGACGCAGAGCGGCTTTTCTCAGCAGACACCTCAGTTTGAGAATAAAGGACTGAGGGAAGTGAGGTGTGGGAGAATAAAACTGAGCTCTGGAGAAATGTTTGGCTAGAGTTTCCCCTACAATATGTACCAGTTCCGACTTGCATACAAATTCAACTTAAGAACCTACAGTCCCTATCTTGTAAGTAACCCGGGGACTGCCTGTACACAGATAGTAAAAGAAAGTAAGCATATTTCTAATCTTCCTCTTGCCATAATGAGTATAACTTTTTTAATGAAGGAAAGTTTGGTTATTGAAAACAGGTAACTAACTGAAATTCTAGTTACCTGAAGGTCAGACATTCACCAACATTTACCGAACAGCCAGAGGATTAAAGGAGGGATTAACTGAGCCACTGGCTATCCCAAGGTCAGCAGGCTGAAGAGGAGAGCTATAATGTTCACATACATACTTATGTACACAGACCAGCACATTTTGTTCCTGCTTCATTGCAGGATTAAGATTCCTCCCCTCTATAAAAGATCCCCTCTGCATAAAAAACAGAGACGAGATTATTTCATACCTCAATACTAACAAATTTGTTTTGACTTTTTGTCTGTAAAATTGCTCAAAAGCACATACCGGTGCAGAGTTAACATCATTAATTTAGCACTATCAGGTACTGGGGAAGCATGTAACTTGTTAAAATTTCCAGTGGCTATATGTTTAAACACGTGGGTGATGGGGGAGGCAGGGGCCAGTGCTCCCTGCACTCAGTAGCTCTCCTCTCCCCCTTCTACTCCTGCAGTCTATCAGTAGGGGCAGTGTGGAGGTGGCTCCTCAGGAGCTGGTGCTCATAGGGAGTTGGCTTTTAAGTTGCTCCCTTCTCCCCGGCCCCAACATCAGCTCCGTCCTGTCCCCTGCCACACTGTTGTCACTGCGCGAGGCAGTTCTGTGGGGCCACCATGCAGGGAGCTGGCTTAAAAACTGGCTCCCCCAACGTGCCTACTCCTGCCTGCCCTCACCTCCTGCTGCCTCTATGGAGGTGGCTCTGCTTTTAAAGTGGCTCCCTGTGGCATCGGCTCATACTTTCAAGCTGGTTCTTGCCTCTTTCCCGCCACCCCGCTCTACTGTCCTTCATACAGGCAGGCCACTAAAAATCTGGCAACGCAGCAGGGCCAACTCAGGCTCCCTGCGTCTCTTGGGAATGACTGCCATGGCTGGCTCCTAAGTGCCAAGCCAAGGGGTCTCCGCACGCTGCTTCCTTCGCCCTCCAGCCCCAAGCGCTGGCTCCGCAGGTCCCTTTGACAGGGAACCGTGACCAATGGGAACTGCAGGGCCAGTGCCTGCAAGCAGCACAGCTCAACTGGCCATGCCTGGCCTAGGAGCCAGACACGCTGAGCGCTTCCCAAGAGCCGTCCGAGGGAAGCGGCGCTCGGCTGTGGCCTGCTCTCCCCCCGCTTCCTCCAGCCG